GGCGACCCCAGCCGCTCCTGGAGAAGATGTCAGCGTTATCCATCGGTGATGACACCTACAGCTACAATCGGTCCATACATACCTCTCAGGACAGAGACGTGACGGACAGCCCTCATTGCTGCAGTGACCTCAGGCACAACCCATACTTGCTTCACCACCCCCACAGCCTGGACTGCACCTGCCTGCCGGGGTGCCCTTTCCAGCAAGCAGTGCTCCCTCCTGCGCGGGGCAGGAGGCTCCCAGACCACAGCTGGCCTCGGGAGTGCTGCGGCACGCACAGGATGGGTCAGAGGAGCCGCTATGTCCCTGATGGTGCTCAGCACAAACAGACCCTGGAGACTCAGCACCACGTTTTGCCGCAGTCCGCAGCTCTTCCCCATGACGCGCTTCACTTGTACAGGGAGCATCAGCTGCAGCAGCAGCACTGTTTCCCCAGCTGGCCCCCACGGCAGCCCTTTCTGCCGGACTCCAGCAATGGGCTGGGCTTCTTCCAGAAAGCCCATACTTACTCCGATGCCTCTTACAGTGACTACTGCCCCCCCCCAGCTGCAAGGCTACCCTCTGCCCAGCAAGCAAACACACAGGGAGCTGTGGTCCCTTTTCCCTTACGGCGAGGTGAACCGCATCATGGCTTTGTACCCCAGTATCAAGGATATTGCTAGCTTGACTTTACTGATTCAAAGACACAGAAGCCTCCAGATCAAGCCTTTCCCAACAAGCACAAGCCCTGGGGCAAAAAGATGCTACTCTGGGGCTTAACTAAGCGTTATTAAAGGGCTTTATGGCAAAGATTATAGCTGTTCCAGGAGCACAACCAGCTATGTTGCATGGGGCATCAAGTCAAGGCAAATGCTGCTGTTCACTGCCATGGGATCTCATTCACCTCCCGTGGAAGGGAAGGCAAAGGCTCAGGGTAACTGGGCCATCAGCATTTGAACCTTGCTGGTGACTGATTTCAGGATGGCATGCATCTTCATTAATGCCTTGTAACACTAGACATGTTGTTAAAGTCCTAACCTACTGTTTAACTACCAAAAAAGAACCATGCTCCAAGGTATCCAGTAAAGGGCTCTCCATAGACCGCAACTTGCTCAGCTAGCATAGAAAGTAATTTGGCTTATTTCCCCTAACCCAGGGCTGTGCTGTCTGCCAGAAGGCATCTTTAGGTCCACGTTATTGCCTGATACAGGCCCAGCAAGCTTGCAAAGATCCATCTTGCTTTTATGAACCGGTGCTGTGAACACATAGAATCCCTAGCAGAGGTGGTGGAGGTGTACCGGAGCACTAGAAGATGGCTGCAGGTACGTTTCTCAGGGATCACGCACAATGTAAGTCAAATCAGGGAAGTCATCTTCAATGTAAGTCCTGGTGCGGACTCAGGGCTCGGGGTTGTTAATTCAAAAAAGAAGAAATCCGGGGGCGAGGGAACTTTTTAAAGCATCTCTGTTTCATCAAACAAGAAAACTATTGTTTACTTAACCCTTAATTACCAAACATGGTCCCGTAATGCAATTATACAGCTGACCTATGATTACAAACATTTAAACTGTGTGCTGTGGGGACGTGTTTGATTTCAGTAAGATGTAAAGCTGCTAATCTCTGCATTATACCACTGAATTCTTCAGGTTATAATACAAATATTAAGCTTGATCCTGAAGGTTTTTGGCATTATACCAAAGTCTAAGTATGTCAGTATGACATGTTTTAAAAATGCTTTAACACATAAAATGGTCATCTAGAACACTTTGTTCTGAATAATGTAGTCTTTTTTTCTTTTCCCATTCCTCTTAGTACTGATGCTTCATCAAGTCCAACATTAGCAGCTCTCTGCCCCTGCAGTATCTCTGCTAGGGTTCTTCTCTGAAGTGCAGCTGGTGATGTTGGTCCCAGGCAGGAATTAAACACAGCCCTCACTGACAACTCTGAATTCTCTTGCTTTTGAAAAGGTGACTCAGGAGTAGTAATTTGCATTTAGTGACATTATCACATGATGCATTTTGAAAGTGGTGATAGTTTGACCTGTTTCCCTCTGGAAACCACTGGCAGCTTTTTTTTGGTGGTGCTGTTTGAACAATCTTAAGGAAATAAGTATACTGTATCAATTCAATCTCTTATGGCCATGTGGTTGGTTCCAAGAAATTCTAATTTAGAGTTTAGAGGTATGTTTTATCTTCACAAAACATGATAGTTTTTCTCCATATGTCATGAATAATCCACTAATTATACTCATAATATATATAACTGGATCACCAGAATGGCTTATAAATTTATCCACTGCATATTACATAAAGATTAGCAATGACATTAAAACAAAACTATGGAACAGACACCCTGAACTGCTTTGAAAAGTACTTGAGTTCTGCAGCCATCCTTAGTTGCGCTGAAACATGCCACGCACCGCTCTTAACACATGGAAGCAACCCAAGACATTTAATGCCTGTTTTGTGCCTATGCAAGGCCAGGCTCATCGGCTTGCCTAACAACCTGTACCGGAGCTTTCCCAACTACTGCTGTGTACACACACACACACACACACACACACACGCATATATATATACACACACACACACTTGCAGAGAAAGTGTGATGCAGAGTGGGAAAATACCTTCCACAAACTGAAACAGAGCAAGTTCCAAATGACAGCATTCAGAAAATACACACACAGCAATGGAGCAGGATACAACCTTACATGTCAACATTTATTTTTATGTCTGGAATGTATGTTACATATTTCAGTACAGAAAGCATTTAAAAATCTATAGGAAAATTGGCACGCTGCCTTTATAAAGTGCCCTTGGCTTGCTGGAGACGTGCATAAGCTTTTTCTCCTTTTCCTTTGAGGATGCACAGGAATTTGGTGGTCATTCAAAACCCTCTCTTGATGTTTAATAACTTATTTTTCTTTCATTTCTGTCTTATTTACTAGGGAATCAGTAAAACACATAGAATGTGCATTCTGCTGAGAAAACGTCTGAGAAAATAAATCAGACTTTGGCACTAAACAGAACTTGATTTCTCTTGGCTCTTCTGCTCACCAGAGGGGGTTTCTTTCTCATGGAGCTTTTGTTGGAAGGGCAGCTCAGCAGCAGTGCTGTGTCAGTGTCTGCTTGAGATGAACTCTGCCACTGGCCACGAGCCCACAGAAAGCACAGCCTGTTTCGTTATTTCACCGCAGCACAAGCATCTGGGACTCAGGAGTCTCTGCTGCAGAGCCTTTGGCACTTTCCAAGGCAGGAGGATTTCTTTTTGGCTTTGTCAGCTCCTGAGGTAAGGGAAGGGACTGTTAAGAGAAAGGAGGAGGCAGCTTTTGAACAGACAGGGTAGGAGGCTGTTGCTATTTGGTGTCTCTGCTGAGATGCATTCGAGTCCAGCTCTTGCTGCCAAGTTGAAAACGAATCCGTAAATCCCAACAGGCTCAGAAAGTCCTTGATGTTCTTTGCTTTTTGGTTGTCAAGACTCTTTTAGAAGAGGACTGAAGCAGTGGGAGCAATCCACTAGGAGACTGGCTGCTTTCCTAAGGGGGCTTTACAGAGTAGACAATTAATTTTAAGATTAAAAAAAAAAAAAAAGGCATAAAAGAGACTCGATGACTCTTCCCTTCTCTACTCTCACCCTTTCCCCAGAAGTTAGGAATCCACAGACACCCTCCTTTATGAGGGGCTAGGGAAACTAGATACAAATATTTCACTGAAAAGTCTTGGGTGAAGACCCCTGTGTGACAGCTCCTCCATATAAATAGGGGGAAAGAGGGTGCTCATCTGCACCCAGTGTAGTCCTGGGTGGCTCACAGTACCTCCCTCCCACCTCTTCTTGAATATAGAAATTTCTCCCTCACAGAGCATTGATGACAAGTGTAATAATTTGGTGAGCTTAGATACCATAAAAATGAATGTCATAAGACAGTCTATGAAGTAGATAATAATCTCGCTCTGTATCAAACATTTGTATTTGCCAATTGTTCTGAGTTTTGTTAATATTTTCACTCACTTCCCATAAAAGCTGGCACAATTTACAAGCAAACATCTGACTTGCAAACAATTAAATAGAACAAGACAGGTTTCATGGTTTCTCTCCTCCTTAAAGAAGTTGGATTGCTGGGAAAGAATAAGCAAGCCTGCCAAACGCGATAGACCACCTCTGCAAGTAGAAAAACCCCAAAAGCCTTTGGTGAAAGCCTTTAACAGCCAGACTCCTACTTAGGACACAGGTGCTTTACATGCATATCTCTAAGACAGTAATTTCGATATTTTCTTTCACCTTTTGCATGGATTTTCCCCAAGCCAGGAGTCAGAACATCTCAGTTTTACTCTTAGAGCCGTAACCCATTCACTCTGCCACCATAAGCCCTTTGCTTCTCTGCCTCAGGGTACACCTGCCCTGCATTCGCTCACATACATACAAGACCGCTGTAGTATTTACCTCTTAAACACTGGTGGGACTGGGATGCTTCGAACTCTTGAGAAGAACAGTTTAATATTACAGCGCCACTTGTCATTAGCATTATTAAGAAAGTGCTGTGACTTGCGATCGACAGTGAAAAGATTTTTATAGCATTTTAGCCACGTCCCTTCAATGCCCCAAGTTGGGCTCGCTGCCTTGAGGTCTTGCAGGAGGAACTATTTAAGATGTATTGGTGTGCTGATTTGGCAAATGCAATCAAATTAGACATACCAATGCAGTAAAGCTGTGAATACAGTGATTTGTGGAGACAGCAGAAGCAAGATAGCAAGGCAGAAAATCAGGACAACACATGCCGGGCTGACAGGCAGTAAGGAAATTAAACCACATGCCTCTGCCGATGAACAGCAGCATCAGAATTGCTCACTAACTGCACTGCCAGCTCCTCCTCTTTAGCTTTCCTGTGTCACATAATTTCCTCAGCTTCCCTAATTTTTCCACATCTTTTTTCCCCCGTTCTCACTGAGCTCAGGATTTCCATCACACTCTCTATGGAGTAGGTGACAAGTTACAAAATGCTTCCCTGTCCCAACCCCTCTCCTTCCTTTCCTCTCCACAAAACCACACGCCCCACCCACTGCCGCCCCAAACTCTCGTTTCTTCCCTTCCTTTCTCCATCCCCATCCCAGCTGCTCACCTCCTCCCTTGCCTGGGCCAGGTACTCCTCCCACTCAAGATAGCATCTGTTCTCTCCCTTCCACCCTGCCCTCCAGGTGAAAGGGTTTTGAGGTTCTTTTTTTCCTTGTCTTTTTTTTTTTTTTAATATTGTTTGGGTTCAGTTGTTGTTAAAAACATGGCACAGATACCTTCAGCCTGGCAGAGACCTGATATGCTCAGGCTGTTTTCCCATCCTGCCTTAAAGCAGCCTTCCTAGCAAAAGCCATTGGGGAAGGAAAGAGAGGCAAAGTTACATTCACAGGTGCTCACGCTGACTTCGTACAGCTTTCTCTTCTCTAAAGATCAAACAGGATGCTAACAGAAACTCAGCCGCCATGCTCTCTTAACTACCTTAAATCCCACTGTAAAAGCAACATTCAGCCTTCACCTACTATCACCAAGACTGTGCATTTGAGGGAGTTACTAACGCTAATGGTTTCATACAGAAGACTAGTGGGCATTAGAACACTGAACAAAACCATAAACTAGAAGCAGGCAGCAAAACACAGATGACAAAAAACCCCAGTCAAACTGGACAAACAGAAATAAATTTTTAATACAAAAGTATTAAAAGAACTGTAGTGCTGGTAGAAGCAAGTAATGTGTGGTACAATAAATCTCGGAAAGGTGCTGCTGTGCAAAGT